TCACCTGTGAAATGATATGAATATTTAATGCTGTACTGAATAAGAACCTGCAATATTGGACTCTTGGTCTTTAAACATGGGCGTCGCCAGGATTTTATTGCAGTGAACCGACAAAGTATTAACTGTGGAAGGGGTTAGGTCCCAGGTGCAGTGTCAGGCAAACCGCTGAATTTCCGGTGCGTTTCAGCTGCGCACAATATCTGCAACCAGATTATGACGGTCCTTATAACTGAACAGATGTTTTCCGATGACGTATCTTGAGAGGCACGATTACATTGTCTGAAATATCGTGAGTATATTTTAATTGGTACCTAGCTGTACTGTCTGTTTTTATCTCCTTATATTGTAGGTTATAGTAGTGTTTTTATTTGAGGGTTGGTGTATGCGGCCCTTGTTCAAGTATTTTTGGTGTCAATGACCGGAACTATTGTATACATAGTTCACTCAACAATGCAGTTTATTTTTGCTTGTACAATAAACAAATCTAAAAGTTAGATTAATGATCGAACACACTCATTCTTTGAAAATAGAACCAAGCAAAAATCTCACAATTTTCATTTTTTCAATTTCCCTTTATGACCATGCAAAATTGTATTACTATCCCACCGGGCGAAATTGCGGCAGCGCTGCATGCATGAATTCCTCTCGGGATGAAGCCAAATTTGATAAAAAAAAAATCCGATCACCCAATCAATCAGAAATTCATACAAGCAGGCCTGGGCGCAGACGGGGAGCCCTTGATGGTAAAAGAAATTACTGGACTTGTTTTGCTCTTGGCGTTAAATCTGCAGCTTTGGTGTAAAATCCACTGGATAAATTGGTCCCTTGGTACGCGTTCTTTGGAATCGAAATTAGAAGAGACCGTGTTGCTGTCCATACAATCGCCTTAGTTAACCGAGTAATATTTATTCAAAGAGACATCTACGTTTAGGTGTCATATCCACTTTCCGTGTGAGAGTAGCACTCGACGAGAGCAAATAACCCTCGGGCACTGGGCAGGTCGACATTTGCTTTACTTTCCAACAACTTTAGTTGATAGTTCTCCGTCAATCATTTCCGGGTTTTGTCGTCTGTGACTGCTCTTCAGAGGTTAATCTCAGCCCGGTTCTGGATTTACGAAGTCACGAGGCCGGATTAAAACCAACTGACCGATTACCCTGCAACATCTGTTGTTGAGACTACCCTTTTTAACAAATCTTGTAACTTGGACAGTTTCTGCCTTACTCTTAAACTTTACCCTAAGGAACATTATTGATGTCTAAGGTGTAATTTCTTTTTACTTTTTTTTCTTTTCACGCCCAGCCTTTGTAATATGATGCCTTAATCACGCTTTTAGGACCACGTTTGTGAAATTCGGACATGCTGCTTACCAAGAATGAACTGTTTTAAAAAAGAAAGGATTGGTATAATATATTATACAACCTCGAAATTAATCCCCGTTATCTGATTGGCGGGTCGTTGACCACGTGTCCATACGTTATTTGTCTTAAGGCATGACACTGTCATAATTCATATTTAGAATTATACAACAGAACTATTACATGCTTCGTATTCTTACAGTGGAGGGAATATTTTCATTCAGAGTCAAACGTATTAATCAATTCTTGCCTAGTGGGATAGAACGTTCGGAAGGAATTCCATTTCCATTTCGTGGAATGGAACATTCCTTCAGTCACTCGTCAACTCATTCTTTATAGGTGTTACTATTAATTCGACGATGATCGCACGAAGTGACAAAAACTCCCTATCGTGGCAAACAGACATCAGAGAAAAACGGGTTTTCAAATATGACTTATTTCATCCTACATTTTCGACCACTTTTGTTTAACAGACTGGGTAGTTTTTGGCATAGACATGCAAAGTAAGGTTTGAAAAATGCTTATCTACACTAATTTGTAGATTTGTTGTGTTAATTAAACAGTAATTCATTAACAAGTTATTTTTCACTTCGTAAGACTGTAAAATTTGGAGGTCTTACTTTCCCCCGTGTAATACAGTTTTTGTCACTTCGTGAGATTATATTCGCACGAAAAAAAAAGGATTTCGTTTTGTTAAATTCAGCATGCGCCCAGCCTAGCAGGTGTCCATGTTCAATATCGTTCGCACGCATGCAAACACTCGCAGCGTGACCCTACCAGAGCTGTGTTTAGTGTCTATTTTTGCCCTGGTACCGAGGAGGTTTTTGTCACTTTATGAGAACAAAAAACCAAGAGACCGAGCTTTTTGTGTAAAATGTTTGTTTACGAATTACGAAAGTAAACAATCTGTTCCTTGAATCGAATTTACCTAAATAGCGCAAAAACCCCAGATCGGAAAATATCGCTTTTTCCAGGTTTGTTTCACTTCATCGATTCATCGTCGATTCATCGATGAATTATTTGCATACAAGCATATTTATTGCTGTAGTAAGAGATGCCATGATGCCATAACAAGGTTCCACAGTAAACTTTGACTGGGCAATCCAAATAATGCACGTGAGTTAATCTGGCTGGATTCTATGTGCACACCAAAGGTCAACCTGGCACAACAAGACTTTTTCCGCGCTCTTAATATGTAGGTCGCCAAGTTCCTAGGTAAGAGTCCAATCTGGCGACCGAACCTTACTGCCATGCATGCCTCTCTCAAACGAAACAGCCCCAAGGATTTCAAATTTCAGCTGATACAGTCATGAGGGCCACAGTAGAAGATTCACTGGCCTGAAGGCGAGTTCACGTGTTTTGAAAGATCCCCCCAGCACGCTCAGAATAAAACACAAGCTAAAAATGTAAGCACAGAGTTGTCACAGATAACGTCACCGGGGAAGTATCAAAGCTGAAGTCGAAGGTCTACCGTTTTTCTTTCTGTCTATACGCAACAGCCTTTTTTTACCCTTTCAATACAATCCCATCCTCATCTTACTCTCATATCCCTCATTCTGTCCCATTGCTTACTTGGTTTTGTCTCGGTGTTCTAACAAAGTATTTGGGAATTTATCCTCATTGGAAAATATGGACTTCCGATTGAGAAAACTCCACCACCAAGCGATTCATTTTAAAGAAAACACAGTTACTTCGTCCGCTACATTTTCCTCTTGTGGACAACGATAAACATGTAGCAATGTGCCCATCTCATTATGCATTTTCGAGACTGTTTTTAAATTAATGTTCTACGGTGCGTGACCGACGAACGCAATCAAGTATAATCACGAAACAGAGAATTTTGTCAATGTCAATTTTGTGTCATTCAATTTATACTTTTCCTTCGACAGCATCAACTCCTAATGACATTGCTGAAAAGAAATGCTCTGATCGAATGATCCGCTCGATCGGGTACTCTGTTGAATATCAAGTCCGAGTTGGATGAAACGGACGGTCAAGTATTTTAAGTCAGAGAATTTCTGCAAAATATATGAATGCCGCTAAGGTAAACATACGTATGCCCATATTATGTGTCAATGTTTCTAAACAGTTTTTCTCTACTTCCTAGACAGATTTGCTGTTTGTCTGTACGAATTGAACGTGTTTTACGAGTGTCCGACTCAGTCGTGGGATTAAAAGGAGCGGGAAATGCATAAAGGAAACATTAATTTCAAACTGGTTGATTTTTTTCTGACAAAACAGGCGAGACATGATTCATTTCGATGAGAGATGGAAAAACACAGCGTTGTCGGTATGTTTTTTTATTAACAAATAAGCCCAAGATGGCCAGCAGCAGTTCTATCTGAGAGGATTTTCTCCCTCGAGGATTATGTATAAATATAAATTCATGCACATTCTGGGAAAGTTTTGCGCATGCTTGCGGCCGGGAACCCTTCGGAGCTCGCGAAAAGGGTTTTAAAGTTTTCTGTCCTTTTAGTACCCTTGAGCTGTAATTTATTAAACTGATCAGGTAATGCCAAGCAATGTCAGAGAGAATTTATCATGTCCGTAGGATTTTCAGTGTTCTTACAAGTACGCAGAGGTCACTCTTAGGCTAGCATCCTAAGACAAAAATGCGAGCTTGAAAACAGATTTTTTGGTCGAATACTTTTTTCCTGTTTAAAATATAAGAATACAACCAAAACCTCCATTTTGTGTTTGCGTACCCAAAAGTAATTATGTAGACTGTGGGAAAGTTACTTTAAAATTTGATTGACACGAAGCCGTGATTTCGCGGGATGTGTTTACTTGAATGTGTAAGCAATTCTGATGAGCTGGAGATCAATTTCAAAAATAATAACGTCGAGTGACGTAAGGAGATCGGCCAATTAACTCCAACGAAAATGTTGACTTGTATCTCACGCTGGCTTGCCTAACCAATGGCACACCCAGGATATGTCGTTTATGGAAGGGGCTAAAATTTAGGGAAAGCTTACTCCCCCTCCCCAAAAAAACAATAGCTCTCGATGCTCAAGTCCCCCCCACACACACACACACAAACAGAAAGTTTAAGATGCTTTATTGAATCTTCGTTTTTCAGAAAAAGGGTTTTCATTCAACATCCAGGTAGGGACTCAAGCACCCCCAACGCCCCCTAATGAGCGTATTTTTTGTGGATATCTCGTAAATTGGCACAAGGCCCATATTCAACGCTTCGTCAGGGCATGGTACGGACATTTTTACAGTGATAACAGCAAAGGGAAAATGCATCGAGACTCGTTGCGATGCGTTCGAGTGCTTTCAGTGTATGTATCGTGAGGCTTTGGTGGAGCAAAAGAAGTAATTGGCGTTGGCAACAATTAACTTCTTGAACTTACTGTATGTTGACCCTTTTGGTATATGCTATCTCTGGATTGTATTAATTTTATCTATAGCCCCAGTTCAAGACTAATAATGTCGAGGTCTTTTTAGGGCATGTGTCCCCTCCCCCTCAGAAAACAGGGCTGATCAGTCAAAACAGAACATATCAACTGGACAATCTATTTGATCATTATTTTACCCTTACTGCGTCGGTTGCAAACACTAAAGAGTATTTCCAACCTCATAATAAGACGTGTAAGGATGTCATCACGGTGGAATAAACTGGAATTCATAGAGACTTACCTGCCATCTATAAGTGCCCTTTTCCCCCACCGCATCTCGCCAGCATTTCTGCCTTCACAGTTGATAGGTGGCGGGGGGCACCCACCCCCTGCACAGTTCCTTGCTAGGCACACCACCAGTAACGTGACCAGCAGCCAGTACGTCAAATGCTTCGCAGCCGGTAACATTCTGCGTAGGGGGGGAATAAACACAAACAAGACTCCTGAGAGTGTGTACGGTTTTGAAGTTAATACAGTCACAGTGCTGGTGTTTGGAGCTGACAATGTGTCTCAAGCGATCGTGTTTGTCTTTAGTTTTCACCCAGCAGCGTGTAACTGGTATCGCAACTAGGTGTTGACGACGAAAGTAGGTTCCCAATCTCGTGAATGTAGGTGTTGCCGAGAACGATTTTATATAGGCCTACTGTTGTCACGAACTTGCTTCCTTGCAGAGGCCAGATAATGACAACCTCACTGTCTCCTTTACAGATCTGTCAAGAGGCAGTTTGTGCCGAGACTTATAGACTTTTCTGGTTGTACGGACGGGCGGATGTAACTCCCACGAGCATGACGAGATTTCCGGTAGGCTGGCTTTATTTGCCAGGGCGCGCGCGCATTTTCAGTGATAACACTCCCCCACGCATGCGTATATACGGCACGATTCTAGTCTCGGCTCGAGCCGTTTGTGGAATGCCATAAGGTGACGTTGGGTAATGGACAGCGCTTACGATAACTAAAGGGCAAAACCAGTTTCCGTGCTATTTCCCCAGATGTTGACTTTTGGCAAGATCTCTGGGGAGTGCAATGTCAGCGTGCCGGGCCAAAGTAATTTTTGGGATTTCGAATCTCCTTAGTCACCAGGGAAATTAAACCCTGAAGTGGAATTGATTCTAGGCCATGACAACATGCTGTATTTGCCGTCCATCGGGGGGGTCATTAATTTTACTTTCTACCCGCGGTTGCCATTACTTGTGCTGAGTCTGCGTCTGGGAATCTTTCTTGTACAATTTCAACATCCAATTTCGTATAAATGAGTTTTATGAATAACTTTTGCGTGCTGGGACTTCTTACTTTTTCACCACAAAGCAAAAACAATATGCAAGATCAATTCGCTCTTTTTTCACTTTCACTTTTTTTTCAAGCATTTTAAGATAGTTGCATTTTGGAAACCCCCATGTGTAATCTTTCAAGAGGTCGAAGGTTAAGGATTTAAATCTCAATCTAAATCTTCGTCTACCTCCCTAGAGGACCGACAATCTGATATGTTGCAATGTCGTACACCTTTCGACAAGATGTCACAGAGGACAATAGAGTTTTTCTCAGTGACATGAGCTAAATAAATAACTAAATATTGCCTTCGAATGTACCAATATTCACGAGATAATAGCGAGTCCCTCTGTCTAATATTTGAAATGAGAAACGTCTGTTGAACCCACGCCCATGTTTTGGTTTATTCCACAATACCAGCCCAATTAAAGATACGCCACAAACTACATGCATTTCGTGTTTGGGATAAGGACTAGGTTGAATCGATGATACACAATGGCCCACTTGCTAATAGAGTTTGAGCGAGCCACAAGACATTAAGAGAATCAACGACAAATCATGTGGCATTCTTACAATTCTTAACCAACAGAATATGGTCCTCAACGTCTTTGACGTAATTGACAAGGCCTGCGCTTCGCATCAATCAAATACAATTCGGCTTTTAAGGCAAGTCGAGTAACGTTACGAGACAACAGTGGACTTCCTTTCCCAATTCCAACTATACTTGCGAATTACCATCACGAGTGCTTGAAAAAATATCTGTCGAGACAGCCGAAATGAAGACAAAAAGAAATATATATAACGTCTTGAAAATGGCTTGAAAGACTTGAAAACAACATGGACACTGCAAAATGGCACCATTGCGTTATTATTCCAGATCTGAGACTGAAAATATGGAAATTTAAAAGACCCTGGGCTATTTACAACTCTACGCCTCAGCTGCGACTGAGTGTTTCGATTGTTGGAACCAAAATGGTGGGTTATGCGTCAGGGCACATGGACAATTAGCACACACTTGCTGCATGCTGTACTTCGCACATAATGAACAGCCATTTTGGTTTTAAGTTTGGCGCTTTAGACTCTCCCATTCACATACATGTCTGCTCTATGCTGTCTTGACACACGTGCTTCTCAAGACGGGGCTCCTCTAATCAAATTGAGCTGCACTCAACTTAATTCGCTATCCTTCACGAGAAAAAAATCGCTGGGAGTGAAACACTGACATCGTTATGACTGACAATCTTTTTTTTCAAATCAATCGTTCCTCAAGGACCTATCTTGCAACATAGACACAACCTTGATGGAGTTAACTTTTTTTATTTGACTAATAGAAGTGGAAGGGAAATTTAACGAATACAGACGAGCATAGGTTGTCTTTAAGGTTGTAATGATTGGTTGAGAATCGTTCGAGAGCTGACAGCACAAATTACGATGGAAAACGCAAGACACTGGCTATAATGCCATTAGAAATGGTGACAAATGTGACTGTCACATTCCATGACTCAACGCGCATTCTTAATCTTGTGCTCTCACTGTTCTGAGCAACGAGACTTGCGCAGTGGTTAGCCAGGAGCCTTTATACCTGGAGTCCAATAATTGAACACCAAATCAATTGTTATGGGTTATAACATGGGTTTATAACAATGGTTTATTCGATTCCGCCTATTTGTTGAAAGCGTACGTCCATAAAGAGAATCAGTTCAGATCATAACAAACGGTAGTATTAGACCCACGTGTACATGTTGGATTAGTTCGCCTCGGTATCTGGCCCGAATTAAGCACTCAACATGTCCTGAATGGGCACCAATGTTCCATTGGTACTACCTGCCCAAGGCATGAGTGGCCATTACCGTGTCGCTGGAAAGCACCTCCATATAAGCTTGGCGTTCCATATTCCGGCCCTGCTCGGTATGAAGTTAAAATGAGGAAAGTAGTTAGTTTTATCAAAAACAAAATAATGCCCTTTTCCTTTCTTATTTTGGACAACTTATAAATATCTTGTTCTAGTGTCTTTAGCAGTGATGTCACAAATATCTGAAGCAAAAAACAAGTGTCGCAGAAAGCTGCAACAAACATAGATGAGTCTCATTTGATTCAGAATGACTGCACTGAAAGTTGTCCATAACATGGAATTCTTTGATAATATAAAATCGTATTATGTTGCTTTGACTCTGAAAAAGAATATTAGGCAGGAAAGCATGGAACTTTAGAATTACTGAATTTAATGCACAAAGGTTAGATGTAAAAATTATTTTTAGATGTCATTATCAGTCAGAAAGGGTACAGCTTGCTACTTGAAATTTTGATATGTCATAAATTGCTTTGGATTATGTAACTTTGTAGTTCAGACCAAAGATTTATTGCATTGGTTGGTATTAAACTTTGTTTGCTATCGTATATGGTAACTTGTGTCACTTATTAAATTTTGCACTTGAGTCATAGCATAAATACCATATTTGCATGATTTCATTGCATGACTCTAAGCTGCCCAGACTCGGTTGCTGTGCTAGTATTTTTAGGACTCTGTCAGCCTTCAGGTGCTCAGACTCAGTCAGCTCTCAAGTGCTAAGACTCATTCAGCTCTCAAGTGCTAAGACTCATTCAGCTCTCAAGTGCTAAGACTCATTCAGCTCTCAAGTGCTAAGACTCATTCAGCTCTCAAGTGCTAAGACTCATTCAGCTCTCATGTGCTCAGACTCAGTCAGCTTGCATTGTGCCAAGACTCAGTTAACCCTCAGATCCTGCTCTTCCATAGGGGGAGTAAAACACAACTCTTGGTTCCAACCTCCACTTCGTCAGGTGAGGAGCTGCGAGTAATGCTAGCAATGGTGAGACTACCCCTTGAGCTGGGACTATCTGCAGATACGTTGAACGATTATTGGAGATTCCAGTCTCTCTGTTCTGTTGCACACGGAGATTCTTTCAGCAGTGGTATAGGACACCTGAGTTGGAACTTGGGCAGTAGCACGGGTGCGGTGTGTTTGAAATATCCGCTTGAACTGTCTTTTAATTGTTACTGAAACCCAAGGACAGAATACCAACAACCTCGGAAGCCTAGTTCACACATGTTCATGTGCTTGTTTATTCAAATTGAGCGACCATTACTCTTCGCACAATAATTTAATGAAAAATCGTTTTAATTGGTGAAATTAAGATCGGTGACCGACCAAACTACTTTGCAGGGAGACAAGCAGCAAATTTGTAAGAAACAAAATACAGATAATTAGTACTTTTCAGTCTAAGATTAAAGTCGGCCACTCGGAGGTGAGTTCTGACTGATTCCTTGATCTTGACAGAAAAGAATCATTGGCTGTCATCAAAGCAACAAATTCACCTGCCGCGGAATCTACGCGCAGGAAATGAACAGATAACAGGCCTCTGAAAGCCAGTGTTTGGTCGGAGAACCTCCCTCCCTATACTCTCTGTCAAGCTCTCATTATCGATTCCGGCAAGCAACCTGTTAACGAGCCAGAGTAATGCCACAGTAACGCGTTGGACGCACTTACATGAACGTGTTGATTGCCCGAGCTAATGGTTTGACTGCGTGATGAAACATGACTCTCACGCTGCGTTAATGGGGCCGGTGCGTCGCTGAGCCGGTGTGGCGGCAAGCACCACGCACGTGACGAGGCAATTTCGGGCCTCAGAAATCCCCGGCAAAACTGTTTTCCCAACCGCTAGATTTATCAACATTATCCAATACCTGAGCTTGCTTTAATCATTTCAAATGGTGCCCTTCACAGACAATTTCGGCCGGTGGGTGTACGTCAGAAAGTACAGCGGTTGCGAGGGACTCCACGAAAACGCCAAGCTCCGAGACCTATCTATTCCAAATTAATTTCCGGTGTTGGAGCAACACTTTAGCATCATCACCAGCGTTGCATAAGGAGAAAAAAGCTTAAAAACATCCCAAGAGCCAGGAGAAAAATGTAAAGGCACTTCCTACTGGTTCAGACCAGACAGGATATTAAAGCGGCTCCCTTCAGCAACACAAATGCCAAACTCAACACTTCATTATGCCACCGTTTTGTGGTACAAGTGTGCGCAATGCGAAATGAACGCGTTGTAGATTCGCCGCAATGATGTGCCTATTTGGTTGGTGAATTTCTTCCTACATTTTCTTAAAACCCTTCACGTCAAGTTCAAACACCTGTCTCTGCTTTCACACGTTCGGTGCTCCACACATTTTGTTTGTTCTGATGTCAAGCCCAGAGCGTCGCCAACACAGACAGACTAATTTGCACTATGATATACCTTCAGGCGGAAGAATGTTGTGGTGTAGTATACCAGTGCAGTCTACACCCATTTTAACGACTATTTTAACCCGGGGCCAAACTAGTAAATTGGAAAGTCTTGCACTGGCTCGGACTGGCAATGTAAATTCAGAATACCAATTTCTTTCGGTTGTAAATTCTGTAAACGGCTAATAAAATATACCGTTAAAGTTAAATGTCGTACGTGTGTCTGTAGACAAAGAAGGTACCGTATACGACGAGTATTTTTAAAG